CCATCGATTCGAACCCTTTTGCTGATCCTCACCAACAAGTTTAAAGGTGATTCTTTAATTCGGCGGACTTGGCACAAAAACAAACGGGTTTGGAACCCAAAATCTCGTGAATTGAAAAGCGAAGGAAATGGTTTTTCGATAACGCGCGCGAATATTATAATATATATTGCGTGTTTTTCCYAAATTATAGTGTAACATTATAGAAGTATTATAATATACCGTAGTCTGCAGTAAAATACCGCACATTGAATTATATTAAGGTGACTGACTATGCGTGATGTGTATATTTTTCAGTGTTTGTGCAACTCTCCATTATTATTAGACGCAAAGGATTAAAAATGTATAAAWTAATGCTCGGACGAACGGTGCCGGGGTAAAGCGATGCCTAAAAAAAAACTCATATTACGCTTGTCAGTGCACATGTGACTGCTGTCGGATATATACYATGATAAATGATCATTTCCCCGTGTCATCGATGACCAAATCTCGACGACRCGTGTGTAGTAGATGGACATATTATATTTAGTTAGGCACGCTTAGTTATACTCGTAACATCATTCCTACKTATATGTACGGCTCGTATAAAAACGACAATATTACTGCTACATATAATAATTTATTATTATGTCGATCAAAACGTCATTATTATTAAGCCGGAAACGGATTTTCGTAGATTCGGCGTGAATGTTTTACTCACCTCAAGCTTTCTGGGCACGAATATAATAATAGTATATAGATGAGACGATGACGGTCACCGAATTATAATACTATGACATCGAACGGTCTGAGTCTCCGAGTGTGCACGCACGTGAGAATCGAACTTATTTTTCTTAGGTTTTTGATTAGTTTCCTTYCGRAATTTGCGTCCACACGTCTAGAGAGACAAAACGTCACACGCGACCGATCACAAGTTGGGTCGGGTTTATGTTTAAACAGGTCGTGTGCACTGCGAGTGATATTGGGCGACGACAAACACGATAATAACACCGACAGCCGCGATTACGCGTGTTTGTCGCGATCGGCGCGCTGTGATCGAACTCGTACCAGGTATAAACCTTGGTACAGGTATCCGATATCGTTAGTGTCGGTAACAAAAATAGAAAAACCGCGAAAACGCGGCCAAAACGCACTCGGTCGACGACGGCCGGAGGGCAGGAATAAGAGAAYGATAGATGGACGAAAAAATTAAACGAAACGAACGACAATGCCGTGAACGGAAAATTGCCGAAAGACGCAAAATCGCACGTGAACGAACGGCGGCAACGAGCAGACAGACGAGGACGACCGACCGGCGGGAACGACCGTGTGATGCACGCGGCGGCGACGGGCAAGCTAAGTCGTCGTCTCGTCGTCGAAGTCGGAGTCACAGTCGCAGTCGACGGCGGCGCGCGTATACAGTTTGTAGACGCGTTGGCTGGGCAACCGCACAGCGCGCACCACACACACACACAAGTGCAGAAATACATAAAATACAAACACACACACAGCGTAGGATATATTATTATGATCCGCCGCCGGTGCACGTACACAAAGGACGACCACAACGTGCGTCCGTCATAATGCGCTCGTGCACACATACACCACGACATTATGTCACAGTTTTATGCCAAACGCCGAACGTAATGAATCATAACGGCACGGACAGGTGATATTATATTATTATTATTATTATTATTATAAGCCCTACCGATCCCGACGACAGTTTTTTCAATCTAGCTGTAAAAAAAGTTCTCCTATTCTCCCCTTTCCTCCCACCATAACGTTCTGACGTAAATACCTGCGTCGACCAGTGATATTACATTGTACATTTGTACCTATACAAGACTCTGTGATACACGTCTGCTTTAAGTATTTTTTATGGTCGGTTCTGTTTTTTTGCTGACATAATATGCACACGTATAGGTGGCACACACGCTCAAGAGCATATGGTTTTCTCTCAGAACTAGTTTTATTTTTTATTTAAGTACCCACGAGAGTATAAGTGATGATGGGTCTCTCAAAAATCCTCAGAATAACATTGGCTACTAGCGCCAGCAAAAGCTGGTTWAAGGAATCACCCTCATGTCATAAGCGCAAAGGTGTGAAAATTAAATGTATTTTCGCCAATATTAAAGTCCTGTTCTATATTAMATTATATGCAAAAGCGCCGGAGATATGAAATTCAAATATGTATATTGTACAAATAATAATATTTAAATCGTAGTTTTTTAGATTCTGAACAGAAAGTGGTTTATAATTATTATATTGTTATATAATCAAAACCGTCAATAATCAGTATTAAGTAAAATTATAAACATGTTAGTAAAATGATTGTATATTGTATATCTACCTAATATCTAATATAAATAAAAATAAAATAAATTAACATAAGGTTTTTATTTTTTAATGTACACATAATATTTTAAACTGCCTGGTTTATTTTTTAATTCCACATTATTCAGATATTCTATTCGACTAATTTCATCATTCTGATATTTCATAAAATTATTACGCTCTTTTGAAATGTTCTTAAATTTGAATTTAAAGTTTGATAGTTCACAAATAATCATATGTTTTCATTTTGAAATTTTAGTGAAATATCAATTATTTTAATATAAATTAAGCAATGAGCAACATAAACTTGACCAATTAAATACCARTAATATGATTCAGTTGCATTAGCAGTTCGTATAATATATTTGTCCAGAATTTCAGTCCACATTTTTGAAGGATGTGTACAATTATGTAAATATACAACCACTGGCCAAATGTAAATTGTTGTTTAATAAACAAAGTTGCATAAAATGCCTTTATTTATAATGTTTTTATACCATTAACTTATGACATAAAATGCGAATTCTCACTAACCACGAAATAATCCAACATTATAATTTTTAACATAGATAGGTTTTTTAAATATAATAATAATAAAAAAACACTACGAAGTTCTAGATTCTAGATATCGTCGATTCCCGCCAAGTGTTACCAATGATTTCTTAATTAAAAATATTCATGTTACTATTATAATATCACATAAACTTATTGTGGTACGTTGTACAGATTGCATATATCTAATTGTAAAAAAAAAAATTAATAAAATAAAAACATARATAGGTTTTTTATCTGGGTATAACTTTTTATTTTCTAACCAATTTTGGGTAACATTTTATTTATCGCCTTAGAAACGCAAATCACCGATAAAAATAAGATATCAACGATTTCTCAATTTCCCTCGCAGAGGAAAAATATTTAGTAGCATTATTTTAGTTAAAACTTCTTATATTTTGTATATAACACAAAAACTTTGACACTCTATCATAATCAGATAGGTAATTCATTTGTCCAGGTATCTAGGATTTTGGCGCTTTTGTTAGGTACGATTTATTTTTTGGTTATCTCGTTTCAGCGCTTATTTCTTCCACTACCACAACTCCCCAAACAAAGATTTAGCCATCAAATAATTTACAATTTCGTTGGTTTTCTGAGAACTTTTAAGTATAAAATATATAGGTACAGTTTATTATTACGTGTTGCTTCAATTAATTTTTGTATTATGGTATATAGTCTTTTTTTCATTACCTAAATGTTAGATCCTGTATACCTAAATAGAAAACATTGTATTGTGCTTATAAAATGTATGAGAATAATTCAAATTTTTATAATTTCCAATCRTTAAAAAAATAGGATAGACATATGAATAGTACTTTAAAAGTTTTTAAAATTTGATATAGTTTTTTGTAAATTTATTACTCAAGGAAACATATTATTTTCTTAGTTTCATTTCCACAACTTATTCCTTTGTTAAGCTTTTCGAAAATCATGTCAACGTCACTGGTTTTGGCATATCCTAAAAACTGATATTGTTCATAAGTGGAAAATATTTGATTTAAACATTAAAATAAAGAGATCATTTGTCATAACTTATCGTTGGATTTTTGTAGGTCTGCAGTGTTATTGGAATTTTACGACACGGGTTTTGTTGAGAGAATATAAAAATAAATTCAAATCGTGCTATTGTTAAAGACATCATAATAAACTTCAAATAGAAATGGTAATACATTCATATCATAACGACGATGATGACATGATAAATAATAAATATGTGTTAATGAAACGAATGGGCTRAAATTTTCCAAAAACACTTTAATAAAGTTGCTTTTATCGAATATCAATAAAAACGCACGTAATTCAATTTACATTTCGCATAATATTATTATATACATTTTATGAGACGGTGTTACTGATGTTCTGTACAACGTTAAACATATATTTAAAAAAACAAAAAAAAAAAAAAATGAAAAGAACTTGGTAACGATTCATTTTAATAGAAAGGGCATTCCACTTATTTTCAATAAAACAAACGATCTAATTAATTAAATGTGTTCGCTAGGGAATACTGAATTAGTATTCGGAGATCATATTATACAATTAAATAGGAGAAATAAATGCATATTAATATTATAATAGGAGTGTTCAGAAACACTATGACCATTACATAAAACAATTCAAACCTGTATTATTAAAATTTAAAAACGTAATTTTTTTTCTAGTGTAAATTTTTCTTTTTCACTTRTATAATGTAAGGAGCAGCAGTTAGTATAAAATAAAGTATAAACGCTTATTAATATTTTAAATCTCAAAGTGTTTTAATTGGAAGAATCTCTTCACTAATTTAATCTACTTAACATTTTATGTTGAATAAACCTTTCTTTTCACAAGTATCGTGCTTGTAGTACAGCATCTTAAATATCTTAAATTTAAATTTCAAAATATTCTTCAATACACATAAATAACTATCGGGCTTATATTCATTTTATGTATAAAAATCGTTTAACCATGTCTTTCCTCCATATTATTTTTTCTCTTTATATTTATTTAAAACTATTACCAAAAAATATAAGAGATGGCAGCTATATATTTTTATCATGTTTTAAATTCATGTTCTTGCCGCCACAATATTTTTGATACGCGCTATCCGTTAATTAATATRGAAAGTATGATTCATTCACTCGACCAAAAAAGCGTAAACATCGAGTAGGTAAGGGCTTGATCATAATATTTATCGTTCTTATTTTTAGAAGTTTTTATTGAACAGGTAGTTTCATCTCTTAACTACTTTTAATCCTCAACAATCTAATTTCCTAGAACAAATGTAGTTAAGCCACTATTCGTTTGTACGCGTCTGAAGAAAAGACATTTTCCTTTTAACAAAAAGTTTTTAATTCCCTAAAAGCAGTAAATGTTCATGTTTTTTTTTAATAAATAGGTACTTAGGTACCTACTGATCTATGAAAATAAATGTATACTATATTATAATGGATGATAAAATATAAAAATAATAATTCTGATAACAGCGTTAGCATATTAAAATTAACTTGATGTGCATTATCATATACCGTCTTGGAATCTACCAACACAATGGCATGTATCAGGAAGCTAATAACGTTAGAAAGTTTGAAAGCTAGGGAGRTATATCAAAAGCTTGTAAAATTCATCAAATTTTGAAAAAAATTATTGAAAGTTCCATTTGCATATAATATGTTTTACATACCTACCTAATATCAGCGTTCTACATTTTATTTAATATAGAAATCAACAATTTTATCCAGTGTATAAATTTATTTGGACACTTGATTTTTATATGTTTTACCTATTATGCTTATTGCTGAATACACAATTATTTACTTAATTGTAAAATATAAATCAGTCATGAGGGCCCAAAAAATAATATTAAAATGTATATAATTATGTGCACATTAATGTTTTTTTTTCTCGTTCTTATACCGTTTTATTGTTACTAAAACAGTRATTTATTCTTCAAAATGACAGAACATAGTATTATAGGTTGTTTGAACAATATTCATACAGAAGGATATTAAAAATAGATTTTACTATAGCAGTATTGCAAATTGTTGAAATCATTTTCGACTTCCATGAAATAAAACATCATATAACTACGAAAAWAATAAAAATTGTCCCTCGGGTATACATTTCCAAGTAAATAATTAAAATAAAGCAGTTAGATTCAGCGGCGTCCCTGTGGTTAGAACGAAGAGGGTGGTCGCCCCYGCCCTATTAGGTGGACCAACTTACATAGTAATTATTGGTGAATTTTAAATTTATATATAAGTAATCGACATTTGTTTTTTTACATCAAATTATAATATTACATCAAATTTCTTAATATTTTGTTATCATAAACATGCATTCATGGTCAAAGACTCTTAGAAATTTTAGAGAATATAATATAATATTATAATTTATAACTATTAACGTGTGTAAAAATAAAATAAATGACCGATCAATTATATTTACAAAAAAAAAAAAAAAAATGTTTAAATCAATTGAAATCTATTTTATCAATGTTTGACTTGCA